ATTTCTTAAATAGCTGAGGTAATGGAAAGATTAAGTCAGCACTCAGACTGATGATTTCTTTAATTCAAAATATTGCCTGTGTTTTGATTGCATTCCTTAAAATCATAAGATCAGACATCCATTTCATCAGAATGTGGGAATCTACCTGTATTCAGGGTAAGAATTAGGTAAAAATCCCTAAGAGAGGCAAATTTACTGGGCTGGCTAGACTCCTGGTTATTGGACTCTCCCTGGATGTCTTTCAAAATCCACGTGGCCTTTATTTCCTTATTACATAGGAAATGGAGCAAATAGAGAGGTCAAACATTCATTAAACAATTTTAATGTTTCAATCAGGGTATAGTACCAGGAAAGAAGATTGGGAAAAAAAACTTCCTTTCCTAATGCTGTATTTGTTTTCTTTATATGCCAGACAGTCCAGGCAAGCTCATCAATCCTGATTTCTTCAAGTACAAATTTACTCAACTCTACTGTAAAACGTCTATCAAGTTACGGCTTGAGGGAGCAACATATGACAAAAACTGTGATTAGCACTACATTTTTTATAAGCAGCTTTAGACACTACTTGTAACATTATGAAAAGTAGTTGCTTTTACAGCCAACAGAATTCAAATCCTTCTTTAGGAACACATACAAATTTATCCAGAAAAACTTTTTTCCACAAAAGGCTGCTTTCATCCTGTCCTTGTTTTGTTACCCTTTTCTCAGATGCCCTCCAAACCAATATATCACATTATGTAGCCTGAAAATCACGCAAACAAGTGGTCTGGTGTTAGCTTCACAAAACCAACTGAATACACCATTAAAACGTCCCTAAGAATCAACATGGTCAGCTCTCAAAGCATAAGGAATAATTCACAGTTTTGTTATGAAATCTACAAACAGAACACATATTTCAAAACACAAACTCAAATGAAAAAACAATTCAGTAGTGGTATAAATGTATAAAATCTACAAATAGACACTAAAAATATCATTAGTTAGAATCACTGAGCTTTCACGTACTGGAAATTGACTAAAAGATACCAACTGATCGCACTGTTATTTCCTCCATGGTAAATGGTTAATTGCAGGATGCACTCTGGTTGTAAACCAGGCATTTTTAACAGATTATCAACTAGAAGGGAAACAGCAAGATAGATTGTACAATTCAGTGAGAAGAAACTCAGCTATTTTATTTCACATAGTTAAACCTGGAGAACGTTTGAAAGCACCGGTAGAAGTAGATAAATGAAGCAAAAACGCCATATTCAATTTCACACTCATCTCGGCTTTACAAAGTTTTTTGAAGCCCAATGTGCTCCTTCTTACAGGAAAGGTGTTAAATATAAAACCACTGGTAATGCAGAGTGAGAGGAAGGAGAACTGAAGTATCTTCATACCTATCTGCAGGTAAACTCACATTCACATCTGCTTTACTAGGATAAGAGGCAAAAGCATAATTCAGAAAACTTTTACTATGACTTATCTAACACTTACCTAGTAGTGCTCAGAATCAGAAACTCCACTCAGTACAGAATTTAATTAAATGGCTTTGGGCTGGTTTTGTTTTGTTTTTTTTCCTCCCTCCCTATGCATTGGTTTCTATTTTAAGTTTTCATTATGAGAGCAGCAGTCCTTAAATTGGCTTTCCTTCCGCCTTGCCATCTATGGTACTTTTTCCCTCCCTCACAGAAAAGCTTAACAACCTAAAACCATCATCAAGGACACAGCAACTCACTTTGCATGTAATCAGACATCTAATAACCACAGCTGGTGTTAGTTATCCCCATCAGCACACCACAAAATGTAACAGTAGAAGCTCATTCTTTCTCTTTCAATAACCAAAAGGACAGCAAGTGTATTACTTAACTTGCATTGCAAGAATTTACTACTCATTCTTTTTCTTCTAAGGGCATTGTCTTATGTCTGTTCCAGAAAACATTTTCTCATGAGTTTTTAAACTGCCTATTCATTTTGGTAGTTTTTCCTTCTTCACAAAAAACTTAATCCACAACTGAAAAGTTATCATGTAACCTGCAAGTTACTCTACAACCCATTCTTGTCATTCTTCCAATTCCCCACTCTTTCTTCTCTCTCTCTGGCACCTTTTCTTGGGTCTGGAGGGAAGAATTACAAAGTGTTTTGTAGAACAAATGCACATATCATCTATGGAATCTACCTTAACTTATCCGGCATGCAGTAGAGGAGAAAACACCAGCTACTGAAGCATAACTAAGACTGAAAGTAAGCAACATCATGCTCTACCTCCACCATCTCTCACATAAGAATTTTTTTAGAAGTAAAGGTTTTAGTATAGAGATATTAAAAGTGGCTTCCAAAGTAGTTCTAGTACTGACAGAAATATGTAATTATTTACTTAGGACTGCTCATGTTGCAGTCAAAGTACCAAGGAGATCATTAGTTGACAATACTCTGTTTTTTTAGTTTACTTGCAAAATGAATTCATTCTCTACAATCATAAAGCTTCCCATGATCTTGTACCGACACCGCAGCATAAATTTAATATATTTAATATAGTTATTTTCATCAAGATGTAGCATGAAATATATTTTATGACTTAATTCTGAAGCACAATGAATGACTGGAAACCTCAGTATTTCTGTCCAGAAAACTGAACAAGTTCAGTCCTTGTTCAATCATTACTGAACTGCCCCACCATCTGTTACTTCAATGATAAAGCTCCAGTGCACCTATTCCAAGTCTGCAGAATGCAAACAAGCATTTACTTCTGTTGCTGAGCACACTATTTGTTAGCTGGATACTTACTCTCTGTAATGTTTCCAATAGTAAAAAACCATAACTGTCTAAGCCAAATAAATCAGAAGTAAAAACCACGCACTAAATTGCGTCAGGAACTCAATATTTGTGCAATTTCTGGCAACTCAGATCCCCCTTCCTGCTCCAGACTTTCTGCTGCTCTTCTTAAAACTGCTGCAGCTAACTGCATGCTATCAAGTAGTGCCATGCAGCACAAGCAGATCTGTTAATGTGGCTGCTGAAGACCCAACAGCCCTACCATACACATTCAGAGCTGTTTTACTTCAGGCTAGATCTAACACTGCTGCTGTGGACTCAAGGTCTGTCAGTGGTTGGCATATAACAAGCACATTTCTGAAACACAGCTTCCATTTTCCTTCCACACAGAAGAAACTCCCTGCAGGCCACGAATGCTTCACAACATTTATCAAAGTACACTAAGAGAAGACCAGGAAATCCACTTTACAAGGATACTCTCTCAAGTTAAACTGAAAAGCTAATGTGGGCCTACCCACTGAGTTTGGAGACAAGTAGCCCCACTCAAGCATTTATAGAGTGAGTGTCAGTTCCTCAGCACAGCTGATTTCCCATGTCTGCTCCTGGTGTGTCACGCTGCTTGCTAACAGCACGTCTGTCTCCTGTGTTGCCTGCTCCTGCTCTCAACCAAATATAGGTGCCCGTAGCTTCAGTCTGCAGTACTCCATTGTCACGTGTTGTTGGGGTGCTCATGTATATGCGATACACAAATGCACAACGGTATACAGTGCAGCACAGAGATACCATGTGCCCACTGCTGGACTGCTATTCACATATTGCCTCCTCACACCTCAGCAGCTGCCAGCAACAGAGATAGACTTCTAACACTGGCATCTCGGGGCCCCAGTACAATTGGCTTGGTCACAGCACTCCTGAAAGGATTTCTTTCAGTCTTGTTTTTCAAGGATACTGGGGGTACAAGAACAAACTAAGATCATCTCTCCCTCCACCAGAAGGAAGACAGGTTTCCTAAGCATTCCTGAAAACTCAAGTCGCTTTCAAATCTCCTTTTTTCACCACTGGAATACAAAAATATCCACAAAAATACTCTGTACCCACAAGTCTGAGTGCTGGTGTCTTTTGTTAGACAGTTGAGTTTTGTTTTGGTTTTTTTGTTGTTGTTGGTTGGTTTAGGGTTTTTTTAGTTACATTATGTAACCCCCCTTCCCCCCCAAATTCTGCCATTTGAACCTGAGAAGCAAAGGTCATTCATAGGCCTCTGAGATATTTGAAAAAGACATGCATTTTAAAATGCCTCAGAAGCATTCGTTTAAAGAACTCTGTTCTAGCTACATCTCACATCTATACTCTATTCAAGAGTCAACTCTGAAACTAAAAATATTCAGAAGTAATACTCCCCTGGCTGCTAATCCACCTAGAAATGATACAGACAAACAACAGTATTTCAAATACGTGTTTCAGCTACTCATGCAATATAACAGCAACTACAAACTACGTTCCCCCAAATTTCAAATACACCAGGAACCGTCTGCCTAGAATTCTATGTGACAGCATTTATCTAGAACACATTTAACCTTATTCTAGCACTTTCATTAACCAATGATCCTTGAGGGAAAAAAAGAAAACAAAAAACCAAGCCCATGAGAAGTCAGATCCCAAGATTTGTTTAAACAAAGTTCAACAAAAAGACCTTCTCTCTACTACATGTCATTGTGGTATCTCTTCCCCATCTGCTTCGCAAATCTATCTGCATTACTTCATCTTGCAGCTTTCCAGATATCCACAGAATTAACAGTAGTGGAATGTTGATTTCTGCTTCTTGTTGAGACTCAGGGAGATGATCACAAAAATCTTTTGCTAGTCAAAGGAAGGAAATTTATAAGGCCATCTCCATGCACTCAGCATCAGCTATCACTTCTTGATTTTGTGACTAATTTTAGCTGGAGATTAAAACGTAGATACGAGGATTTTAGCTTCTACTAGCTGATAAGGACCTGCAACCAAACATCAGTTATAAAGAACATGTTATGTACCACATGGGATGGGTTAGACAGTTCTTTTCTCTAGTTGAAGATGCACTGCTGCAGCACAAGAGAGAGAACCAGGTTGCTGAATAATGCTAAATACATGCTGATTTTACTAAAACACCCAACCCACCATACCTGTAAAAAAGTCATGCTGCCAAGTACTTGCTTCAGAAATTTAATTTTCAAGTTTTATGATAGGTATTAAGCAATATTTACCTGCTTCTTCTTTAATGAATGACAGGTCTTCTTCTGGATATGGGACTGATGGTTGCAACACTGAGCAATCTTCTGAGTTCTCTTCAGTATTAGGCGGTATATTATAAATAAATCTTTTTGCAGTTTGGTTTTTCCGTCTTGCTTTTCCAGGTTCTTGAACTGATTGTCCCTGTGAGCCCATGTCATTCCACACAAAAACTTTTCCCTCACCTTGAGACTCATTTTCAGCCATTTCAGGTGAGCTGTCCTGGACCCAACTGCAGTCATTCATTTGGTAGCTTTCAATTTGGGCCTCATCAATTGAGTAACCATCGTTCTCAGTTTTTATGCTACTTGCCAAGTTGGTAAGGTTTCGTGTTGCCCAGAAGCTGGCAACTTTCTGATCCCTTGGAGACATACCATCCCTACTAACAGACCTCCTGTTATAATCCACTACAACGGTCTCCGGAGCTTCTGATTTTATACTTATGTTTAAGGCATCTTTAATGAAATTGCGGCAAGACTGGACAACCTCCGTCATCTGAAGGTAGCTGGCCACTGACATCACTTCAATGGCATTTTGGCTCGTAAGCACGAGGTTACCAGAATACAAGAAGTCCAAAATGACAGAAAAACCTTGAACAGCAACAACATCTAAATAGGTAACAGTGGTTTGGTTACGGCTTTCTTTGTTTGTAAAGCAATACAGAGTCTTAAAGAAGCGGCTGCCTGCAACCAGGATGTTCTTGTGAGCTCTGAAGACCCTCCCACTCACCACAATATTGACATCACAAAGAATGCCTTTCTTCCTCTGCTCATTTAGTTCTTGCAGGAGCTGATAGCAGTAAGAGTTCTCATTTGGCCTGCTGTTAAAATCACAGTATCCTTCATTATTCAGTTCTGACGGTAACTCCGACTCCTGGAATTAGAAAGAGAAACAATTAGCTTTTCACAAGCGTTCTTTTTAGTCCTACAACACTACTGAAAGGATAAGAAACTAAAGATAGCGTTATTCCAATTTTTCTTAATTGGAATCTTGGTTATAAATGCAGGCTGGAATGCATGTTTGAAAGAACATTCATCTAAGACATCATCTAAGAATCACGTTCTCAGACTGCACCCTCCTCCCATATTTGGAACAAAACCACAAGAAAATTGCCATAAGGACAAAGGAAATAAAATTTGGGCCAAAAGTGAAGTAAGATTTAGCCAAGAATGAAGTACTTGACTTTGTTAATCCATACACATTAAAGATTCGCAGTCTTAAGATTTATCTGGATAGCTCTCACATATGCAGTTCATTCTTCCTTGGAAAACTCCACTTGAAGTCAATAGAGAACCCTGATCCAGACTCAACATTAGCTCATGCTGAGAGATGAATACATAAAGATGATCAGTTATCTCCCAGCCTGTGTCTAACTGTTCTACATGTTCTAAAGAAACTACTACTAGAGTACTTATAGCAGCAGGTATATTTCTACAGTTCTACAAGTTAGGAATTTTTTTTAAAATTTCCCATTGTACAGGCTTTACACTAAATACTGGTAATACACATGAACAGAATGCTGCAGGTGCCCAAACTAAAATTGGGCTTCCATTACACTACTTAGCCAAGACTTCCTTGATTCAAACTACACTGAAACTTCCCAGCAACACCACCTTTAATTGGTTATCATACTGACAACGTGTACTTATATGCCTCTCCATGATCTTTTCACAAAGTAATCTTAAACATAGCTTCAGAATTTCCCAGCAGTAGAATCAGACAATCCAACACCAAGAAATGAATTCCTAAATAATTAGTTCATGCAGAAGCTGGTGAGTAACGAGAGGTTCGAAGTAGATTTTACAGTACTTTGTAGCTGTTGTTTAGACAGTGATGATTCAGACCTGCTACAGGAGAAGCAGCTAGAAGAAAGCAGAAAGCAACAAAAAAAAACCTCATACTTACATTAATTTATAGGTGCCATTAAGACCATTGATGATGACACTACTGTTTTTTTCCATTAGATCTCTAGACTCTTCCTTCCTAGCAATTAAGAATAGCTTGGAACTGGCTGGTTCCATTATGATTTTGGATAAGAATAGACCGCATTTTGCAAAATTATTTCCTTTAATTTTCAAAAATGACTCACAGACCTGGGAGTAAGGGGGCATTAAAAACTGCACTACCTCAACATTACAGGTCAGCTTCAGTTTGTGGGTTTTCATGAGCTCGTGATGTAAACTGGGGCTAGAACATATCCTGAGAATGACTGCTACCCTTAATTTGGAATTATGGCAGAATTGGCTATATAAAGAAGCCATTTTCCACCATACAGGAATTAGTGCCTTAAATCACCACTTGCTTCAAGTTGTAATCCCAGTGTGGATCACTAGAATGACAGCTGAGGTCATAGAATCATGAGGTCAAACTACATACTTCAGAAGAGATTACTTCTATCTCTAAGCAGCAACGTCCAACATGATCAGAAGAGAAACTCTCCAGCATCTCCTGCAGAGAAAATTCAGTCTGCTGCCACATTCAAGACACTTCTAAACCTCTACCCTTTTTGGAAAAAAAAAAAAAAACTTCAGTGAAAAAAAAAGAAAAAAGAAAGAAGTAGCAAGACAAGCAGTTAGGCTTTTACGTGAAAATGAGGCACAGATCTTTGTCCAGCCTCAGCTTGCTTCTTTCTGCGTGCTCTCTGACAAAGGCGAGCACTCCCTCTGATCAGAGCACTGAAACAGGAAGCATGTCCCAGATGCGACAGCTCAGCCTGCCACTGAGTTCTGAGCATTTCAGAGCCACGCAAACTTTCTCTTAGTCCACAGTACAGTTTCAAAACTGACTACATTGACTTTGGGTCAGAATAAAAATTGTCGTCACTCTGGTCACAGCCAAACATCAGTGGCTTGTGTCTTACACACTGTTAGGCACATGTCATAATAGCTGATGGAACTTCATTTCCTGAGACCAGGCAACATCCAAAATTACTCTGCAGCAGGCCTTTTCTTTTTATGTTTGACTACATAGAAGCAATGGAGTATGTTTAAGTAAGGATGTGTATGCAACCAATCCAGCTGAAAAATCAGTGAGCTGTGCACTGCATCTTTTCCTAAGGAAAAGAAGGCAATGCGATGAGAAGGACTTGCGGAGTTACATGCTACAGAAGCGAGGCTGAAGTCTTTGCTATGAATACAACAGAATGCCAAGTGAAAATAAGAGACATAATGCAACAACCATTCAAAGTACTGCAGTATGCGCTGGGAAAAAGTACCAGCAGTTAACAGAGAGCATATAGATATTTTTTTCCACCTAACTGTAGTACTGAACACAAGTGGTTAAGTCCTGTTGGAAGCCAACAACCGTAATGCTGCACCGTGAGCTAAACGAAAGCCCTGACATCAGAGCAGTTAACAAGTCTGTGTAAACCAAGTGTGACAGATTTAGCATTTACTATGGGAAAAATGAAAAAAATGTAATATCCCTTGGAGACTTTTAAACATCTCCTCTCTCTACAGAGAAAGTATAATACAATTCACTGGGAGGTAAAGTTAAGAAAATAATTACAGGAAAAAAAAAAATCAAAGAAAATTTATTTTCAAATTTCTATTACCCATATTATGTTCATAGCAATCATCATAAGGGAACTGTTTTTCTGATGAGAACCACAAACTACTATTTCCTTAGATGCCAATTATATTTTCAGAATACAAACAAAAATATTCCCCTAGCTTAAGTTACCTCACCACCAAACGGCTTTGTCCTTGACAACTGATAAGAAACCCAGAATAGAATGGAAGACTTTCATTCTTGTTTGTGGAATTTCCAGAATCAGCCTGAAAAGCTTTCCTCTGTAGGTGAGATTAAGCAGCGGTCTAACAGAACATAACTGAGCTCAGTTTCAGTTAACTGGTCTCCAAATACACCCAAAGACAAAATGACTCCTCTGTACGTGCAACTCGGTAATGAAAGCTGCCTAAAAGCTAACTGTAGTAGAAAAATGATCAGAAGCACTACTAGAAACTTGCCTCCTTCCTCACCGTGCCACCGGCACGCTCTCCTAAGAGTGAAAGCAGGAGGTAGGTGAAGGAAAGCACTCTGACCACAGATTCCACCCCGGCTGCATGCATATTTAAAGCAGTAAAGCCACATTTTTGCAATCCCTTCCCTACTGCCACACCTTGCTCTACAGCGACTTTTCTATGCCCCCAGATTAATTCTCCTCCTGAAAAATAGATTCCTTACGCACGTGTGGCCGCAGAGGGAAATCCTCTCAGAAAACAGCCCCATCAGCCGCATGCAGGATGCTCCGCTGCTGCTTCACAAGCCTCAGCATCCCTCAGGAAACTCAACACTTGGGCACTGCTACACTAAGTGCCCAACACCCAACCGAGTAGCTCCGGGTCTGGGAAGAGCACTGCATAAATCCACTGTAAGTGACCGTCCTTACTCTGAAGGCCTGACTGCCTCCTCAGCCAGAGTAATTCGAGAAGTTAACTTAGAACACTACAATGCAACTTTACATTTGAAGCACGACTTCTATTCATCACTGCACACACAAAGCAAACAATTACAGTTCAAATGGAAAAAGTAACACATCAAAGGCCTTCCTCCTTTTGGAGAGCTTCTGCTCTAAACCAACATGCCTGCTAGGCTGGAGAAAGCTTTTCTGGCACTACTGCCAAAGCTCAGCTTCAAATTATGTCCACATAAAAAAGTGTTTTAAGAAGCAGCTTTGAGGATAGGAACCACAAACAGATGATAAATCTGCAACTCACAGATCTAAATTCATCACAGAAATAAAATGTTTGGCAGTGACTTCCGAGTAAGTCTCAATTCTTTTCAATTAGAAGAGAAATATTTCCTCAACAAGTCTACTTAATAAAAAGCTGAAGGTAGTTTCAGGCTGGATTATCTCTCTCCTTAAGCCTTACCGTGGCAACACAAACTAGTTTAACTAAAACAGAAAGAAAAGAATCAAGACTTTTGTCTTAGAAAGCAGCACCAACCGACAGCTCCGTACCCTTGAATTGCAGCAGCTGTAACCACTTGTGTGTTTTGGCATTCCAAATTAAAAGTACCCCAAAAATAAACTGAAATCATCACTCACTTCTTCATGAGTATAATATCCAACAGACCTATAGAAGCTTCCACTGCTTTACTGTCTTAACACCTACCATTTCCTTTTTGCACTTGAACGGTGGCACTATGCCATATGTTTATTAGCAGCTGCTAAACATGCCCTGCAGTTGAAAGTTGTCAAGTCAGGAATACATATGTATTGTCTCTAAGACAAAGAGTGAAAGACCTCTCCCAAATTTCATTAAATTTAAAAGGCTTTGCTGCCTCATTATGTATGTTGGAAATACGGTCAGGGTACAAATTACCTACTTTTGTTCCAAGTATCTGGTATCAAGGCATTAAGATAAAAATAGGGCTATTGTTTCGGCATTAGTTAAACATATGGATCAAGAGAAGGAGGAGTGCTATTACAAACGTGAAAGGGGATAATAACGACACAATAAGTGCAAAGAAAACACTGATTCCTAACCATATTTACAGTAGAGCAAGTGTAGCCCACAAGTGTACCACAGAAAACCAACAGTGAGTCTTGAAAAACTGAACTCCTCTCCTTGTAAGAAGTTTCTAACTCAAGTGCATTTGCACAGGGATGCATCCAGCACTGTTTCTACTCAAAACCACCACTCCTACACCTACCTTACAGAAGCTTACTTAGTCCAAGCCTTACCATTAATATAGCACAAAAGAGCCACTAAGACTTACTGTTTCATTTATTATTACAATCATCATTTTTTCCCCATAGATTATTAGTGATATAAAGGCAGAGGCTCATTTTATAAGGATTTTCACGACGAGGAAAGGTTAACACTCCAATGCAATTAATACTTGCACTAACTTCTAGGCTACTCCCTTCTCCTCCATATCAATTAGTCTTACGACACAGTATGGAGAAGAGGACAGAAGGAAAGAGTATTAGGTTTAGTAAGAAAAAACAGCATAGAGTATGTTTTATTTACACATAGCTAAGGGCAGTAAAAGAAACTTTCACATGTGACATGAAGTAACAATATCTGCTGGGAGGGAGGCTGCACAGTGACAGGACATACCTCTGTGGGGTAATCACCCGCAGCAGGATGGCAAGAAACATACCACGCAAACAAGAAACAAAAAGAATATTAACAAAATAGAGAGAAAATAAACTGCAAACGAGAGATTCGAAATAGAAACTGAAGGTATTTAAGGCAAATCAGGCCAAAATACTGCAGAGTAAATAGCAAACCTCAGATTGCAGGAAACTGATAGTGACCTACCGCCATGAAGCGTGCACAACAGCCACCTCACAAAGCCAGCAAAAGCACTCACCCAATAGGGAGCATTACTCATCTTAAAGGTGATCGTCGCCTTTATAAATCCCAAACAGTGTCTTGGATAACTGCTATTACTCCACAAATTGTAAGGTTTATCGTAAGGTTTGCTTTGCAATCCTGCAGGAGTTTCACACAAAACTTGTGTTCCTCTACAACTAGCTCTAAGAACATCACACTCTCCTGAGGCATCTGCCATCCTAATGCCCTACCCAGAGATTACAACAGCAGCTCTTGTCCAAGGTACCCTGAGCTCCTTAAGGTGCTCAAGCAACACGCTCAATGCAAGCGCTGAGCTACGAGCTGGACTCCAGGTATGTCTGACACAGCCACGGTAGAGGCTTTATGGAGAGCTCAGTTCTAAACTGGGAGACCACAGTGACTGGGGGGACTGAGTGCAGCCAAAAGCCCCAGGATGAACCTAACCCACAGCACAGCACGCCGCAGGCCGGTTAGCCCATCTGAGCGGGCTTCAACAGTGCAGGCATCCTTTGGAAGGAAGGCTGGTGATTCAACGAGACCACTGTTTAAAACATTTGTGGATGAAAAGCATCGAGTTCACCCCGATTTATCCATGAGAGCAGCCAAGAACTCCAGTAATTCTAAGTTCAGCAGGGAACAACAAAGAGTTCGGCCAATCCAAAAACGTTAGAGGAGATGCTGGCATATTAACGCGGCTTTCAGGAAACCACATGTTTATCTCAAACAAACACCGAGCAATTACACATTTCTGGCTAAGTAACTCGATCTAAAGCAACCCGTTTGGTTAAGACTGAAACGGTGAAGCCCAGCCCGCAGCAATCCGAGCGGAGCACGGAGAGCCGTGCGACAGGACGACGGAACAACGGCGATTTCACGGCGGTGAGCGCCGGTTTCACAGGCCGGACACTGCCCTCCCTCCGCCAGTACCGCAGGAGGAAGTTGTAACTCGCGTTTGTAAATCAGTGCGAGAACACTGCCGTGCGTACGCAACTGCCGCCGCTTTAGATAAAGGCAGCCGGAGATGCGGGTCCGCCGAGCTGCGGACGACGCACGAAGCGGTGCGAGGGAGCTCACGCACGTGGGCAAAGGGGGACACGCAAAACAACACGAAAGCCACCAGAAAAAAAAAAACAAAACAAAACTGCTAAACGGGGAGGGGAAGGCTGGCCGCCGCCTACCTGCTCGGCGCTGCCCGGCTCGTTCAGGCGATGCTCGGCGGAGAGGTGGTGCCGCAGCAGCAGGGCCCGCTTGTAGTTGCGGGTGCCCTTGCAGAGCTCGTCGTGGCCGCCGGGCACGGGGCCGCCCGCCAGGATCAGCTCGGGCGGGGCGGCGGCGGCGGCCGCGGCGGTGCACCAGGCGCAGGACATGAGGCCGGTCTCCTGGCAGTAGTAGAGCCATGGGAACTCCTTCAGCCAGGAGCCCTGGAAGGAGACGTGCAGCTTCTGCAGCAGCGACTTGGGCCTGGCCAGCGGGAAGTGCCGGACGCTCTCCCCCTCCCCCGCGCCCACGCTGCTGCCCTCCGCCTCGTCCCCGCCGTCGCCCCCGGACCGCCTGCTGCTGCTGCAGCTGCCGCCCTCCGCGCCGCTGCCGTCGCCGAGGCTGCCCCCTTCGCCGTCCTCCTCGTCGTCGCTGCTGTCGCTGAGCGAGCCGCCGTCCTGCGCCAGCTCCTTGCCCTCCAGCAGGCCCTCCGGCTCCAGGCCCTCCGCGCCCTCCAGCTCCATCTCCTCGTCCGCCCCCCGCCCGTCGTAGCGCTTCCGCGGCCAGGCCGCCGCCTCGCAGCCATTGTTGGCGCCCGGCGGCGCTCCGCCGCCGCGGAAGGCCAGCGTCCGCCGGTTCCTCTCGGCGGGGGGCGACGCGGCGTCCGGCGGCGGCGGCAGCAGCAGCAGCTCCTTCTCGTCGCCGGCCGCCTCCAGCTCCTCGGCCTCCAGCCCCTCCAGCTCCGCTTCCTCGTCCGCCCCGCGCCCGTTCAGCGCCTCGGGGTCCCGCCGCTCCCAGGCCTCGGCCCCTCCGCCTCCCGCCGCCGCCGCCGCGGCCGCCGCCGCCAAGCCGCCGCCGCGGAACGCCAGCGTCCGCCGGTTCATCTCCGCGAACATGGCGGGCGCGCGCGCCCCCCGCCGCCTCGCGCCCCTCGCCGCTCCCCGCCCGGCCGAGGGCTGCGCCCGCGGGAAGGAGGCGCCGCGGCCGCCCGAGGAGAAGGGCGGGGGGGCGGCGGCCGAGAGAACGCGCGTCCGGGCCCCCCCCCCACCCGGCTCCGGCCTAGATCGCCGCCGCGGGCTGCCCACAATGGATCCGGCCGGGCTCGGCGCCGCTTCCGTCCCGACAGGCCCCGGATCGGGTCGAATGGCAAATGAACAACGGGCGGCTCCCACAATGCACCGGGACGGCCGCCGCAGGGGAGGGGGAGCGCGAGCGGGGGGCGGGCGGCCGGCCGGGAAGGAGGGAGGGAGGGAGAGGGGGGGACGCGGGGGGCGGCGGGGCGGGCGCGACGGCTGCGACGCGTCACGAGCCCCGCCCCGCCCCGCCCACCGCGCGGCAACCGGAGGGGCGCGCGCCCCCTCGCCCTCCTCCTCTGCCCTCCTCGCGAGGGGCCGCGCTGTTCTCCTCCGCCCGCGCACGCGCGGGGGGTCCCGCGGCTCTCGGTGCCGGCCCGGAGCCGGCGGCGGCCGTCGGTGCAGCCGGGCTCGGCGGGAGCCGCGAGGGAGCGGCCGGTGGCAGCGGCGCGTGCGGGACCGTTAGGCGCGGCGCGAGCCCGGCGCGTGCGGCGGCGGCGGCGGCTGCGCACGTGCGGCGCGTCCCGACCCGACCGGCGGCGCTGGGGCCGCTCTCGGCGGGAAGGGCGAAGCGAGGCCCGGCGGGCGGGGGGGGGGGCGTGGGGCCGCGACCCGCTGCGCTCCTCGGGAGCCCCTCCTTTAGGGCCGTCGTTTATGCGGCCGGCAGATGGGCGGTTTGTTCAGAAAACCGTCCGTTCTGGCCGCGAGCAGGTGAGGTCGGTTGTGGATAAGATCGGTCAGGTCATCCTTGCGCTTTCTCTCCCGGTGGCGCGCCGCAGTCGGGGAGCAGAATTCCAACCGGCTGGCCGCGATCAGGGCAGGGTGAAAGCACGGCGGTGGTTTGTCGCAGAACGCGGTGGCCCCGCGGCTGTCCCGGCACAAGTACGGGGCTGCAGGTGTCGTGCACTGCGGGCACACGCGGTCAGGGATAGCAGCGGCACTCGCTCTGTGTCGCAGCTCCCAGGAGTTCGCTTCTCTTATTTTTTATTTTTTTTCCAGAGTCCTGTCAGACACTGGGAGAGAAACCTGTGAGGAGAGTTTGCGAGAGTGCTGTAAGTGGTGTACGGAACGCTGTGCGCAGGAGAAAGCTTTCCTCCTTCCCAAAACGCCTTGGGAAAAGTAATTTCTCAAGTAATTGGTAATTGCTACCAGGTACTTAGTGAAAATTGATCTTCTCGTGGTTGGGATTAAGAAAATCTTTCTAAAATTCCAGGGGTGGATGGTGAATCTCTGATGGATTAAAAGAGCTGCCTGAGGCAGTGTCACATTTCCAGGAGGAGGAGGGGAACAGAAGTGCTCTGGATTTCGGTGAGGGTTTGGCGATGGGGAGGTGAAACATCACAAAATTTGCTGTGCCTCAGCGGGGCACGGGGTGGAGATAGCGGTTCAAATCCAGATCCCTCAAAGCAAAGGGTTCCCACGATGCAGCCTCTGTGAAACGCAGAGCGGAGTGGCAGTTCCTGTAATACAATTCACTGGTGTGTGAGATCTTTGCCTGTCAGCATTTGTCAGCTGACTGCTGCCTCGCACTCATCTGCACTGCAGTTTCTCAACTGTTTGAAAACTGTACTGCTTTTAAATGCTTGGTGTTGTAGATTCTTTCGTACTGAATCTTTCTTCCTAAATGTTTAAATTGGAATGGGTTGCAGTGAGCTTACATTAAGAATCCCCACAGGGATCCACATGTAGGGAAGGAGACGTGTTGCAGCCAGGAGCGTAGCCTGCATCCGGGAATGTTTAGAGCATTTCTGGGGATGCACTGGGGATGCACTTAGAAAATGTGTGAAGAACTGCAGGATAAGGAGCCATAGGTCTCTGCATCAGAGCGCAAAGATAATCTGCATTTGAGTGCAGTGGCTAATCTAGAATTGCTAATAAAATTGATAGAGAATCATAAAATAATTTAGATTGGAAGGAACCTCTGGACTTCAAAGTAGGACTGGTCTCCGTTACATTGGGTTGCTCAGGGACAATGTCTCAGCCTCTCCCGGTCTGTTTGCTCAGCAAACCTTTAGTGACGTAGCTCTTCCCAAATAACCTCACTAATTCCTTGCTTTGTCAGCCTGATACGAGGGATTCCACCTCTGTTCCGTGCACTCAGCATGGGGATCGTAATCAAACTGCTGTGGCTGATTTAAGTGGTCCGTAGTGTCTCTGTGATACCATAATTTAGGTTGTATAGGTGAATTTGGTTCTTTCTACTGAATGTCTTTGTGAACATAGGTTTCACCTGTTAACTTTCTCTTAACGTTTAACTCAAAAAAATTAAAACCTCTTATCTTCATTGCAGAAGTTTTTATTTTCAGACTTCTTTGTTGCAAATGAAGTTCCATGTTAATGTTGGGACTAAATATTTGAAAAAATCACTCTGACATGCTGTGGCAAGAATGTGTTTATAGTAACATTAATTCGCTGTTTCTTCATCAGCAGTTTTTCACTTCCCCTGTCAAACCCACACACTGCTGAGGTTTATAGCTGGAAATAATCACTGATGTGCAGCTGGTCGTCATTTTTAACATGCATTTTCCCCCTACAACCTCGTGAGAGTCAGTATCGTTTACTACTGACGTCCATATGTATTCAGACATTAACATCAACTGCCCAAGGAGGCTGTGGATGCCCCATCCCTGGAGGTATTCAGGGCCAGGCTGGATGTGGCTCTGGGCAGCCTGGTCACATAGCAGGGGGGTTGAAACTAGATGATCATTGTGGTCCTTTTCAACCCAGGCCATTCTGTGATTCTATTAACGAACATCTCTTTCCTTTTTCATGCTTTGACCAGACAGTGCCAGAGAGAACTCTTCACTGCTTAACTGCCCCGGTCCTATATATAGCACACGCTGTTTTATTCAGTCTGAAATCCAATTCTCCAGTTACAGCTTTCAGCTTTCTTGTTTCTCTGATAATCCCTTGGTTCTTTCTGCTTCTTTCTCTTCTATTACAGAAAGACCTACAAATCTCCCACGGTTCATTGACAAAAATTCATAAAGTGATGTAGCTTCCTGTAAATGAAGAGCTCTCATGCCTCACATGAGGGAGTGGAATAAATAATGGATGCTTCACATTACATGTGCTGCTGCAGTGTGGCATTTTGCACCGCATCTAGAATAACGCACACCTGAGCTGTGCTGTTGCCAGTTGCTGGCATTGCTTTGTTTAAGGATAATTAATTGAGCAGGGCACCGTGAAAGGGAGCACATACTGCATGAACTCTTGCTTATCACTCTGTGCGCTTATATATACATACATGAAGAGAATGATTTATAAAACTGCTGAGAGGATGAATATCATTGCTGAAAAATTCCATACATAATACTATTACGATTCCATGCTATTTAATTCAGTGCTATTAAAATTCCATTAAAGCATTTAAATGTGCCTTTGTATGTTCTGCCAAACTAGGGCTTCAGTGAACAATTTGCAAGCTCCTATGAGAAGAATAGGATCTTTTGCTTTTAAATGATCAAACCCATAGTGTGAGAACCTGAGGACTGAATTCTCAACCTTGTGTGATTGATGATGAAGAGTATTCTATTGATAAGGGACAGTATACAAGCTACGGGGGCAGTGAGCTTTTTACATATACCCAGAGTTTCCTTTTGTTGGAGCTGAGGAGAGTATTTGAAGTCTGAGGCAACAGAATTCAGTGAGAAACAGATTATGCTATGAGAGACATCTTGCATTTCCAATGTATTCTGATCATAGCTTTTTCAGCAAGATGCTTCTGATACGAACAGCATGTTATTTCTGGAGACATTTGTGTTTCCAAATTCCTGCTGTGACCTAACAAATACTTTCATGACAAAACTGGCTTTTCCAAGATATTTTCAAAGGCTAAGGGGATGTTATCCATTCCAGGAGCATATTTCTGCAATGGATGTTCATAAAATAAAGAAGATTTTCTTTTTAAAGAGGGTTGGAGTTCCACTAACATGTTTTTTGTGTTATTGGAAATATCTATTCCCAGGCACGTGAAAGTTTCAGATCAAATGCTCCTGGATATTAAAGGATTTTTGAAGCTAGAAATTCACTAATAGGAGAGGCTTTTCTGTCTCTCAAGTAAAAGCTTTACTCTGGAGAATAGGATTATTTGCTGTGGGGATCACACAACAAAGTGAGTGTGTCTAAATTGGCGCCTTATTACTGTGGCAGAAGTGAATGCACATATGTCAAAATTGGAAAAACAGATTTTAGCTGAAAACAGTCGGTATAAACAGCCTCTTTATGGTGTGGACTCCACTGAACAAGTACCAGAAGAGGAAATAATGCTGGAAGCTCACGAGGAAGGAAGGACTCGAAAACCTCAATGCTGTCACTGGCCTGAGGTTATGTCTGTGCTGCACTTCAGGTGTAGCCGAAGTAGACATACCTGTATAGAGTTTGGCAGCATGAGTTCAGCTGTCTGGGCAGCCCTGGGTGTCCCCAGAAGGAGTGTGTGTAGAATTTCCACTGTGGTACAAGCTGATGTAGGCACACCTGTTATGTCACAGTCCTTGCTTCCAGATCACAATTGAAGAAAGCTTTGGAAAGTGTAATTCCCAGTAACAGGACCTCACACACATTGTGTTCCAGACCTAACTGTACCATTTGAAGATTTTGCCACTTTCCATCTTTGATGCTGTAATTACTGCTGCCATAGCTGCTGATTAAAGGGTTTGTTTAAGAGCTCTTTAACTTGCTCCAGGCAAAATAAACAGGTTAGTTTAAACTTTTTTTCACCAACTAATCCATCTGACTTGTCAGAAGCACGTGAAATAGTGCTCACGTACTTTCTTTTGCCAATAGAGCTGAGCGGATGGAAATGGTGGAAGCTATCAGCAGAGGAGTGGGAAACAACTGGCAGAACAATCATGTCAACAACTGGCACACCTGTCTGCAAACTCCATGCCAGTGTGTGACTTAGTCCTGCATGCGTTGTGGGTCTTACAACTCTTCCAAACATGTTCATGCCTTTTCTGTTACACATTCTTGGCTCAGCTCCCTTTTATGCTAAGTACTTTTGTACGGCTCCCGCATTGTAAAACAATTTGAAAGTGCTCAAAGATGTAATTTAATGTCCTTTTATTTGAAAGTGTTAAAAAAGGTAATTTATACCCCTTTTAAAGCTTTCTTCAAAACAATGTGAAAATTGTCTAAGGGGCGAATAGCAATGATTGTGATCCTGCAGAATTAAATCTACTATATTTTCCCAGAACATCAACCCCAAATTCAGTATACCACTCAGCCAAATGGCAGTCCACATGAGGGCTTGCTATCACATTGATTTTATACCGCTGGAGAGAAGCTGGCATGGAGCAGGTTGCAGTGTTCTTTCCCTGTTTGCACTTCTCATGCTTGCTGTGAATGTACGTGACTTCTCTTACTTTTCAACCTTGATGGGTCCAGTTGCACACAAGCCTCTGAAGAGAGGTTTGTCTGCCTGGCTGTAAGCAGCTGTCCTCATCACGGTCTTTTTAGGTTGTCCTTGCTGCCACAGAGCCTTCCCCTCCACAGTACCACCACCTGTATTCCTATGGCTATAGCTGTGTCTAGTTTTGCCTTAAAAAATGCATTCAGTTCCCTCTTAGTTCCAGCCCTCTTTTAAAGTGACCTATCCCTTCTTTGCCTAACATACTTCTCACCACATACTTCTTTCTGATCCTTTTTGTCTGTCTTTGGTTAGGCCTCTGCTCTGAGTGTTGATCAGCTCCTAAAGCCATGGAATCTCACCGTGTGCCTGACTGAAAAAATAGTGCCTTCTTTGTATTTCACAACTTTTTTTCTTTGACGGCTCTCCTTAGCAGTCCGGTATTTTACAGTCTGTATCTAGGACAGATGTGCTTCATCAGAGAGTGAATGAGCTGTGAAAGATGCACTCTACTCAAGGAGAGCATAAAGCTCCTATTCTGGGTGTTTAAACAAAAGCGCTTTCCCTGTGGCTTTGATCAGCGCCTGTTCAGTCAGGGTGCAGCCTCCTCCTAACTTTCTGACTGCTGACTTCAGGTAATCCGATTTGGCCATCTCTTTGTTACAATATCTGCTTTCCATCTCTTGTTTATCCAGGCAACCTGATACACTTTAGCTTATTTCTAAATCTACCAGCAAGTCAGTGATACTCTTTTTTCATCTTAAGTTATCAAAGTTCATAAAACATCATTAAAAAAAAAAATTGAGATATGTCTGTCTCAATTAATTTGTCCTCATATTAATTAGTGAGTATTTATTACAGTGATCGTGGACTGCAGAATCTCAACTGAGTGAATTTAGTCCACACAGTAATGAACAAGAGTGAGATTTGGAAATTTTGCTTTTATTAAAGAGTCCTTGCAGGACAACATATGTGAATTGTTGTGTTAAGAGGAGTTAGGGAAACACATTTGTGAACACGTTTGTTGTGGCACGTTTTGTTAACTGCAGTTCTGCATAACAGCCATAATTATATTTGCTGAAAGGAATTCAGGTGGTTGTTATACTTTTACAGGGTATTTTTTATCACTCAGAAAATCAAGTTTATTACAAAGTTCCTTAAACAGAGTAAGATCTGCCAGCAAGGATGCTAGTACCAGGTTAGTAAGGAACAGGGTCAGCGCTCTCAACCATGATTAATAATGTACTCATTATAAGATGCTGCAGTCCTACCATTGCAAATTTGTGGTCACTGCTAATGCCAGACATGGTGTTGGAAACCTTTTCTTCTCAGTCTTGCAGGTGATGCAGAGGCGTGGCTGCAGCCCAGCCACAGTATAACACCAGCAAAGAACAAAGGCAAGTGTCTCAACTCAAAGGCTGTTGTGGGAAGGAAGGACAACCTCTGCTAAGGCCTCCTGGCAAAGATTTGGGAAGAGCTTTCCCCAGGGCCAGCAGCACTGTCACTAGTGCTGGCCCAGAGCCTACAAAGCCAAATCCCAGGAGGACAGGAGTGGGCCCACAGGCCTGACACATAGTTCTGTCCTCACTTAAGTCCCCTTCTTACTCACCAGCCATTTGCTGACCCAGCACTTGCTTCTTTTCCCAAAGCAGGCTAGTGCAAGAGGGTGGTAGTGCCGTCCTTAGCAAAACTGACCACCTCTGCACTGTCCTACTGCTATCATGCTTCCTAAGGTGTGTTTCCCAACACCATAAAGGCCTTCAACCATATCAGCATGCTCCTCTCCACAGAGTGATGCATGGGCTCCTACAAATCAGTGCTGGTGGCCTTTTGCCTACTGCATTCTCCTATTCAAATTATAACTACAGAAAGTAATATTTGTAGCCTTCTTAGAGTATATCGTTCAGTGCCTGGCAAAGCATTGCCCATATATTTGTGACTGTTGCTTTTGCTATAGCATGAACCTGGATCATGTCCCAGAAGCGTCAGCAGCTCTGAATGCTGATATCCCTTTCTTTTACATCCTGCTGATAGCAGTTGCTGATGCCTGCCCAAAGTATTCTTGCTTAAAACCTTGTTTTCCCTCTCTCTGTGATGTGGACAGGTGGTTGCCCTAAGCAATTAATCCATGCACCTGAGATGCAACCTGATGTTGCTATGGGGAACAGTTGTTTTCAGGTGGATCTTTGAGAAAGTCATGTCCATTCTTACTAGGAAGAAAATTCATTTTTATAGTCCTGCCAAAATGTGACATCTAGTGCTGGGAAAAGTCTGTTTTAATTAGGAAAAGTCTGTTTTAATTAGGAAAATTCAGGCTTACTTCAGTATGGCTACTCAGACTTTTCTGGAAATTGTACGCAAACTGGAAAACATCTGGGTTTTGTGTGAGAATGGATGAGATTACAATACTACTTACACTAAATCACATTGGCTACTTGACTATAAGTTTATTTTGTAAGCGTTCTTACAGATTAGGCATATTTCTTAACTAATTTTGTCAAAGTAATGTAAACAAAAAAACCTTTCAGAGATACATATATACGTGGATTTTAAGAATCATCACTGGTACCTTAGTATTACTGATTTAATTTAGGGATGCACTACTTACAAAACTAGGTGATAATACTAAAGCACTTAGCACTGGTTGCCCAACATATCAACCGTCTCATTTAGATGGTTTTGTTGGGGCTTTGGTGACATAACATAATGGTGTCAGCCCTTGCGTCAGAAATCTCAGCAGGATGGAAATGGTGTTCACAAACATTTTTTTTGAAGAATTTACATGCCCATTCTAATTTACTTTGTGGGAACACATAGTCTCACTGTCAGTTCAGTCCAGAGTTTGGGAGAAATTCTGTTGTGTTTTTTGCTGATGCCCAATAGGAGATCATAAAGCAGAGCATGTGTAATCATCTCTATTTGGCTGGGAGACTCCCATACTGACATATCTGTCTTGCTCTTTCTCATATTCCTACCACTCCTAGGTTGGACAACAGTCCGTCAGTGTGCCTACATGAGATTCCTGGCACCAGGGATATCCATGCAGCATGGGAATGTCACAGCAGCTCTGCACAACAACGAAGCTTCTTTGAAGTATGCTTGACAACTACTTTATATATTGCATTGTCTTGAAGAACACTGACAGAAATGTGTTGTTAGCATGTGGTATCATCAGGAAACCATGAACTAGATAGTGGTATCCAAAATATTTTGGTTGCACCCTCCATCAGTAAAAAATCTTGAGCATGCACCATCCATGATATACATTCAAATATACATACAAATATGTATATTTATTTATTAGTGGATTATATCACTTATGGAAGATGGGCTAAAGCTCAAGACAGATAAGTCAAAAATCAAGGGAAAAAAAAAGGATTTATTCTTTAGCCTCAATGTACTCCACTTTGGAGGTTAAAGGCTTTTAAAGTCTGGGCCCAGTATGGAATGAATTCCCTCCGGAGCTGAAGAATATCACAAAGATCATCATCTGAATGTAAACAAGATTTCTTTAACAAGCCTCTATGACATAAATGCATTGCAACATGTACATTAAAGAAAAGCACCCAAATTATCAAAGCAAATCATTCTACAAACCTCTCCCCTGGGGCAGAGGAAGGGAGAGCAAACAACATGTTGCTTAATGCAGTACTGGAAAGAAAATGGGTACTGCAGCAAGAACGTGAACAGACTTGTGTGTAACAGAAGACTCTGTCTGTAGCCATTTCCACTCAAGATGAAGTATCTACATCAATATGAATGAAATGTTTATTTCGGGTCAACAGGCATTATGTATTCATTTCTTAATTAGATGCTACTTGTTTAGGATTCTTCTATTGTTCTGTTCCTTCCTCAGTGGGATCCTGACTGTGGAACTGTGAGTAATTTACTATAAATCATTGACTGTAGATGCGTCTGGCTGTAAAACAGGCTAATTTACTGAGCTCAGTTTAAGAGACTTTTTTGGGTCATATTTCAGTACAGCTAGACTGTTTTGTTGGCACAACTCTAAATGTAAATCAATCTGTAAACTACTCACCCCCAAAATTTGTTCAAAGAAGTATTCTGAGTCAGATATGCAGTTAATACACATCTAGTCCTGGAGTAAGGTAAGGTAGACCGCTGTTTTACTTGAAGGGTGAAGCTTAGGTCATCTTTGATGCCTGGCTGACTCTTACTCATTGCATGAGTTGGGGTGATCCTGGAGTCAAACTTTTTTTGCCCTTTCCACAAGGGAAAATAGTAGGAAAGATAGGCTGTGTGCTCATTTGCAGCAGCTCATTCACCCAAGTCCTAGTTTGCAGATGCATGTAGGAATGACAAGAAAGCACTCTAGATTTAAGAAGTGATGAGGGCTTGCCAGAAACTTGCATTTTACATTGGGAGATGTACTTTATTTGAAAAAAAGAAAAAGAAAAAATGAATAGGACTTTAATTATTTTTTTCCCAACTCCTCCATTATGCTGATGTTCCTGTGTTAAAGCTCTACTCTAGCACTGTGCTCTCCCTCAGACCTCCCCGGTTGATGTGTTACAAAAGATGTGGTATGACCAGCTTGCCATGCCTGTGGCAAAGAATGGGATATCTTTACTTGAAGCGACAAGCCCTTTCAAGTTAGTGGAGCAATGGGAAATGAAAGTTTAGTACTGAGATGACTGGAAACAAAGATTCTCTATCATTGCAGTAACGTGATTCTCTACCGTGAAGTTTCCTGATTAAAAGCTTTGCAATTCATTCTCTGTTCTTTTCCAGGATGTACCTTTAAAAAGTCATATGCAGCTACTGGAATCTTTGAGAGAGGAAGAGTAACGGCTGGTGAGAAATACAATTAACTTGGCTGACTAGTGTAATCATCAATAAAACTGCAGCAGAATTTGCATCTATTGCTGAAATCTGATTCTCAGTGATGAATAAGCAGTGGTTAGCGTTGGTTTTGTGTAGGAAATGTTGAAATGCCAGCTTTTGAGGGGAAGATAAAGTAGGATGAAAGTGGATACTGACACTTCCTAATTTCCTGCGTGAGTAGGGTTCTGAATTTAACTTGATGTATAAAAACATCTCCCTCAACAAGTTTTACATAAACCTATTACTTGGCTTTTCCCAGGTATTATTAAATGCCCCGTCTGAAACTGATCTGACTATGAGGTAAGGCATTTCAGTTGATATTTCTTTAACATTTTGAGTAATAGCTCAGTAAGTATGCTAGCAACTTGCCTCTTGTCCAGTCTGTCATAAATAATGCACAGTTTGTATCAAAGCCAATGTTTTAAATCTACAACAGACATAGAAGTCACAAACAAATGTTCATGTGGGAAAACAAAAATGCAAAATGAATTCTGCTCGTATGAACAATTTGAGTCTTGAACATATTAATCCTTGTTTCTGAACAACTGTTAGCTCCGAAAGCAAGAAGCTATCAAACTGAGTTGTGATGCAAGGTACACTGAACAGCTGTGACTAAAAGAAATACAACATTCTCCTGTTTCCAGAGAAGTATGTCTGAAGAAATCCTATTTCAGTGTTACTAAAGTGCCTGTTGCGGAATTATTTTTTGTGTTTTTGTTTTGTTATGTTTTTCTGAAATTTCTGGCTAAAATGTTGCCACTTCCTTGGCTGTATTTCTCAATTAAGAAATGCACTCAATTAATTTTTCTTCTCTTTTGAATGAATTAATTAATTCTTGACAGTGCAATGCTTTGAAAGCATAACTACTAAATGTGAACTACAGTGACCCATGACTGCTCCTGAAGGTCTAATCGAAATTATGTTTGGCATAACTAATCTGTAAATGGCACTCGAGTGTAATGGGATTTTACACGGTGGAAATTTTGCTTCAGACCTTTGGAAAAGAATCATTGCTGGACGGTTCTGCATATTTATTTTAATTTCGGTTTACTCTCATCTTTAAAAAAGAAAAAAGTCGTATTGCCAAGTTATGTAGGAAATTGAAATCATATAACATTCAGTACTCTCGCTCCCTTACCTACTAGCAAAGGTGGTTTCACACTTATTTCCAGAAGGCTTTTGGCCAGTATGTGCAACCCAAAGAACACAGATGCAGACTCACTCCTTTGAACTGAGACTAAATGCAGCTGCTGTCTGTGCTGGAAGCAGTCACAAGAATGTTCTAGTGTTACATGGCCTGGAGTGCGTATTACACCAGATGATGCTAATGGGGAGAATTACAGATCCTTTAGCTTCTCCCTGCTTCCCTTCCCCTCCAAATATGTTCATCTCTGGAAATCACTACTACAGCTTCTACTATTTGTAGCATTCCATTAATACTGTGGACTACCATCAAGTTCAGGAGAAATAAAACTGCAAATTTGAGTGTGCTGTTCCAATTAAGCATTCAGTGGCATGAAGCATAGGCAGACTGCACCATCAAAGCCTGCTTTCAGAGATCATTTATCATTGAGGACACGTCCTCTTTAGCATCCTGTGTGCCTGATTTAATACCTTACAAGTTTAGGGCTGCTAAATGCAGGAACAGAGCAGCCTCCTCTTCCACATCATGTAGGACTGCAGTGAGAACAGAGATGGGATGAGTCTGCAAAGCATGGCAGACTGAGAGCTTTGTGCCCAGGGATTGGCAAGGGCAGGCAAGCTCTCTCACATCTCATAACATACACTAGATAATGCTAGTGAGCATGGGCGTTTTTTCCAGAAATCCCATTAGATGCTGACTTAGAGCAGACGCTTTAAGTTGCGTGGTTCAATAAGCAGTGATGTGTGTTAGGCTTCCTCCTCCACAAAAAGGATGTTTCTTTGGTCACATCCTGCTCAGAGATGTGTGGAAAGGAGTTGTCCTGTATGGCAAGAACGCAGAAGCTCAACTGGAAGGAAAATCTCTTCCCCTATTCTTTCAAAATGTCCTCAATGATGCTGGTAAAGTATTTTTTATCTGTGGTATTCAGCTTATGCTCTGCACTAAGATCATGTGGCCTGCAGTATCACAGACAGAATGCCACATTTCTTCACAGTATTACAGTTTTGGCCACTGAACCAAACCACATTTGGGTCAGCTTCTTTTATGTTACACCATGGCTGGAAAATCTTCCCTGCATAATGCTATCAGCTTCATTGCCATAGCATTTCCTATAACTAACACAGTGATCTGAGGTAGGGAGTGCTTTCCTTGAGCTGGTTGTGGACCTGTGTGTCTTACCTCTGTAATTCTTTGTTTTTGCTACTCCTGCTTCACGTTCTGGCATCTGGGACACTCCTTAGCTGTGACTGGTTTCTGGTTTTCATCTTGCTCACACCTTTGGCTGCTGAATGGCGCTGGAGAAAGTCCAGACTTCTCTCTAGTGCCTAATTCTTCAAATTAAACCCATCTTTGCAGGTTTTGCTTTAGCTTTTATTTTCAGCTAATGACAGTGATACCAGCCTCGCCTAACTGTGATACTTACCTTTGCAATTTTTTTTTCTAACTTTAAGTCTTTTGTTTTACTCTCCTGATGCGTAGATGCATTTTGCTGCATTTTTAACTGTTACTTCACTGCCGCAGCTAAAATAAAGGTAGACTTATTCTCCTGTTTATGGTCTATGCCATAGAACTTATCCTTTGTATTTCACTGTTTTCCTGCCATTCTGTGAATAAAGCAGTCATGAAACAGCTACAGTTTCCTATGAAGTTCTGATAAAATCTTCAGCAGACAGAGTCAGAATAGTGGTCTGTAAAGGTCTAACCCTTGCAAAGGATCCTGGCACAAAGACCTTGGCCAGGAAGATGTTCCTGTGTCCCAGCTGCTTGAACAGCAAAGAGGCTTCCCAGATACATCCTACTTTTTGTGGCAAACTTCCTTTCTTCCTTCCTTCTCTCCTTCCCACCTTCCTTCCTTCCTTCCTCCTCTCTTCCTTCCTTCCTTCTTTCCTTCCTTCCTTCCTCAGCTAGACCCTTACCTGTTTTCAGTCTTTCAGCCATTTCCTCTTGGAGATCACTTTGAGAAAGACTTTTTCCAAAACCCGTTGCTGGAGATGTGATTGCATCTCCTTTATGATTCTTCCTTACATAAATTACGCTTCTCATTTATTCATATTCTTCTCAGTTGTTCAGCTGGCACCACCTGTCACAGGTTGTTTATGTCTACCTTTATCTTAGCTGGGCAGTATTCCCTGTTCTTATAGATCCCATCTTGCATTTCTAACTACTCCTTCTGAATGGCCTGGACAGGCAATGGGTTCTCTGTGTGGTTGTGTTGTCTTTCTTTTCCTCCCTTCACACACATTCCTTTGATATAACTCACTCCAGATTTTCCTTGGGCTATTTTATAGGCTGCTGGCACTAGAGTATTCCTTCTTTTCTATCTTTAATATGAGCTTTTCTACATCTACTTAGTTATTCTTCAAACAACATATGGCTTCCCTAAAATTTGCATACTATTATGTCCTTAGATGATTAGCTGGTTTAGCACAACTATAAACAATACATTTATACTGCGAATATCCTTCACTTGAAGTGAAATGTTTGAACGATTTGCAAAGGCGTTGTTTTATAAGCCTGTAAGAATCAAGCTGCGGTCTACTGTAAACCACTGCCATTATTGGTATACTATTTTGAGCAAATACCTTGACTATGACATCAATTATATGCTCATCAGCTGTGTTATATAGTTCAGGATATGATAAATAATAACACAGAGGCAATATGGCTCTGTTTTCCACACAGTCACAGGACTGCTAAGGTTGGATGACATCTCTGGAGATCTCCAGGTCCAACACCTGCCCAAAGTGGGATTGGATGCAGCAGGTTGCCCAGGACCCCAGGGTACACATTCATGACATGCCTCTTGCTGGGGTTTGTGTCACTGGCCACTATCCTCTGAGGCAGAGTGGTGGCCAATTAGCAAGTCTCCTTAGAGCAAACACTTTTTTTTAATGCTTTAGTATACACGGTGTTGAATTGAAGTCTTTGTTACAACTTTTTCAAAGTTCATCTACTTCTTGTGTGTGTGTTTTGTTTGTTTCTCCCTATTTCTATATTTTCTTTGGTGTTACTTTCTTTAGTCCTCATGGATCTGTCTGTCTCCCATGAGTGTTCTGCTAAATAATACCTAAGGAACAAGATTTGCTGGACACAGGCAGCTGGTACCTGACTGGCATCATTGTACCAGAGGAGGTTTAGACTGGACTTTAGGAAGAACTTTTTCACGGGAAGGTGCTCAAGCATTGAAACAGGCTGCCCAGAAAACCTGTTGGAGTTCCCATCCCAGGAGGTATTTATGAGAAATCTGGACGTGGCAGATAGTTTAGTGATGAGACAGTTTAGTGATGGAACTTGGTAGGTCAGGCTGATGCTTGCATTTGGTGATTTTGAAGATCTTTTCCCACACAGATAGTCCTATGATGCTAAGAGACATCCATATACACTTCAGGGTAAAGCAGAGGGCACTTCAGGTAAAGCAGACCCATGCCCTCCTAAAATAGCAGGTGGGTTCCAAAAGGACCCCCTAGGGCACCTTGAGGGCAGTAAATAACTTATTTAGGCAACTGAATTGAGTCCCTCTTACTGAGTCTATGTTTTCCAACCCTTCCCACTAGCTGAAGTGACTATGAACATGTTTGTTTTCTTCCTGAAATAACTGTTTTTCTCCCACTCTGAAAGGTGAATATCACTGGCCTATATTCAGCATGCCTAGACTGCCTCTGTGAAGTCTGGATTCTAACTGCAGATACCACATCAACCTGTCTGAAGTTTTTGCAATGAACAATTTTACTCTTGTAAATATAGCAACTGTGTGGAGCGGGCTGCTCCTGGTCTGAGCTTGCTTCTGGGCTGCAGGCAAGTCTTCATCCTGCTTCTGTCAAAGCTCAATCCCTTGGTTTTTTGAAGTCTCTCCCTCAGCTTTCGCTTTTGCTGTATCTGTGTATGCTGTGTATCCATCTGTGGTTTCCTAATTTAAACCGCTGTTTGTTTTTCTTCTTTGTCTTTCAAGAATTTGTTGTTGGTCTTTTGCCAGGATGCAGAACACACATGGCTATTTTGTGGGAGGGAATAAAAAGATTAAAAAAAAAAAATCCAAATTAAAATCAGCAGCTTTTTCTGGGTCTTGATTCCCTCCTTGCTATTGCTAAGGATTCCCCAGATCTTCTGACTCTACTTAACCAAAAAGTATCTAATCTGTTATAAATGCCCTGAAAGTGTTTCAGTTTTGCACATTTATATATACTGAGAGAATATACCAATACATATATATGTATTTTGAAACCACCTGGCCCAGACTGCCCGCTTCTCCCACTGTGGAGTGCATGGGATATGATGGTCAACTTCCAGCCCAGTGAAGTGAAAAACACAGTAGCAAAGCATGGTAAGCCTGCTTTTCTTTCAGGATGGACATTAGGAAAAATTTCTTCTCAGGAAAAGTGTTAATGCACTGGCACAGACTGCCAAGGGGGGGGGGAGGGTAGAGTCACTGTCCCTGGAGGTGTTCAAGGAGAGGGTAGATGTGGCACTGAGGGATGTGGTTAGTGGGCATGGGGGAATGGATCAACAGTTGGACTGGATGATCTTAGAAGCTTTTCCAACCTTTATGATTCTATGGTTCTCTGTATTGTAGCTATCAGTCATGGAGAGCAGTCCTCTCCTGGATCCTATGGGAAATTACAGCAGTGTTTTACTGTGAAAAATCTTTGCTGTGAAAATATAGCACTGATGAGCTAACAAGAACTGCTTTGATAGGAAATCAGTTAACAAGCCTGAAGCTGATGTTGGGCTTTCAACAAAATTCAACTGATCCAGGAGCTTTTTGCATATTTGTGTCAGAACAACTTATGTAGCCAAAAAGGAAAAAAAATGCTGGTGTGACTAGCATCCCTTCTTGTAAATAGAAGGGGTAATCGCTTGTAAAATTAGAACTGAATCTAAGATGTATGTTGGCATATGCAGTGCAAGATGTCTTAGGGGAGTAATACATATTTGGTCTAAATCTTTGTTTATGAGAGAGAGAATTGGAGCACAGGCCTTGCAGAGTCTTCTTGCCTGGAGCAGATGCTACCAGATGGGTAGGGCACAAGTATTCCATTACCTCCAGAAGCCAAATCTTTTTGTGTCCTCTGAAAGGTGTTGCCTGGCATTTTTGTAACCAAAGGGAGAGTTTCCTGATCTCAACCTGGAAAAGGCACTTTGCAAAGCCCTCCAGCCTGGCTTTTCCTTCAAGCCACAGTGACAGCCATGAAGTGGGTTGGCTGAAATGCCAAGGCACCCTCCTGCTGCAGTTCCCTTGAGTGAGATGGACTGCCTTACAGCCAGGTAGCCAACATGGTGTGGATCATTGAAACCAGGGCTGCATGTATGCTCATCACCATAAGAAAACATGGCTTTGACAGCCTAATTGTCAGTTTGACAGCTGAGTACAACCACGGTCCTTCTCACTGCAGCTTGCCCAGCAGCCTGCTGCGGCCTGTGTGCTCACCCAGGGCAGCGCTTTGCCCTCACTCCTGTTGGAGCCAGGAACGTCTGTCCTTAGTGGAGGAAGGCACAGGGCTGTGTGTTATTGCTTTGCTCTGAGGGTGACAGCAGAGCCTGGAACACTTCAGTTTCTCTCTGTATATACTGCACGGGTGCCAACCGGCGTCAAAATGGCCTTTATAAGGCAAGGATTTGCAGCTTGCAGTCCTCCATCTTTAGCATTTGCTGTGGCTACATACTTAGCATGGCAGTGCAGGGCACTGATGGAGCCCTTTTTGTCACTAATGGATCTGGGTTGGTCCCAGCAGCAACAGGCTGCAATATTTTCACTAGTGCCTTTGGTACAGGTCACCTCAAGAGTTTGCCACCTCTGATGCAGGGGCATGGGTGCTTTGCATGTATCCATACTCTGGAGCATCTTCCTTCCTGACCACACTCTGAGGGCTTCTCTCTGAGTTGAAGTCCCGAGAGACCCGAGAGTCCTGAGTGCCTGGTTTGTTCCCAGAAAAGCATGCAGACCTTAAATATTAACAAACAGAAAACAAGACATATCTTACACAAAAACAGCAGCTTCTCACAGAAGTGCAGGCTGGGCTGGAAATCTGCAGAAGTGGCATAAAACTTTCATAGAAATAAAATTAGAGAATTTTATTTTGTGAGGTGGCATATGGTGTACATTTAAATATCTACAAGCATTGGAAATCGTGTATGTGAGATTTTCTTATATTGTTACTTTTCAGATCTCTGAAACGGCTACTCAGTTGTTAAGCACTAGTTGAGTAAAATAGATACTATATAGATACATAGCTTGATATAATCAGTGTGTGATCTTCATCCTTGGAGCAGATGGTGAAAGCTTCTTGTTGCTAAGTATCCGCATGTGAAAATTGTAAAGTGAGTACACCAAGGATAGTGACATAACTGCTCTCCAGGTGAGAAAATTAAACTGCTGACTTGGGAAAACAAATTGGATTGGGAAATGTTAGATCTGTAGGGCTTCCTGAAGCAAAACGTGGAGAAGTAGCTTTTGTCACAAGAGAAGATAATGGTGCTGAAATTGGCTGGGGAAAGTTCAGCTTCTGCGAGAGTGACTCTGGGGTATTTTGTTACTGGGAAGGTTTGATTCTGCATTTACTCAGCCAGGCTTTATTATTAACTTTAGAAGAGTTAATCCTCATCTACTCCCACATATGTGACAGCAGAAGCAAACATTTTTGCAACTTCTGAGACTAACAGGGTACTTCTGAACAGATTAATAGCTGTGAGCTAACAGTGAAGGGCTAAGACTTCTCTGGATATCAGTGATGCTTTCCATTTGTCATCTGTGTCTCATTACTTGGGAAAGTAATTATTGTCCCCAGTTTGCAGTTAAGAAAAAAGAGACAAAGAGATCCATGGACTATTAAAGGTGAAATAGGCAATTGCTGAAAGAGCTTGAAATAAGAGCTTATTTCTCATGACTTCTGAATCCTTTGCGCATTCAAACACAATGTACTGTATATCAGGACATTGCTCTCTTCCCATTAAAGCTGGGTAACTACCCACTGCAAGCCTAATCCAGGTCTGATGTGAACTCACAATGCTATTTCTGTTGAATTACCCCGAACAGAAATGTTAATGCCATCTGGAAGAAGACAGGTTGCACCTGATCAGAAAAGAAAAAGGTCTTTTGGGATAAAATTGTCCCTTCAGACTTCCCATGAACACATTTGAACTGGCAGGAAGATTTCATACCCCTTCAGCACCTTTTGTTAGATAACTGTGATGCATTCGGGCTGACAGCAGGAGCTCTCCCGTTGGAGCTCTCCCACAGAGTCACTGCTGCGTGTGACACACCTAGAAGCAAAGGAGCAGTCAGATGTGAAGCCTCTTTGATGCTGTTTTCCATCTGTTTTTCTGCAAGCATGCAACGTGCATCTCACCCTCATTCCTAGGGAAACAAAATCGTGTGACACCTCTATGTGTGTGTGTGTGTCCTTCCCATTAACATCTTTCAGTCCACCATAGCTTTGACCATATTTTATACCAGGGTATATGTCTCAGAATAAAATGTTGTTCCTGCATATCCCATGTAAATAATTTACGAAGGAAAAGAGAGAATTGGTTCTGACTGTGCACAAGATCTGTCCTAATGACTTCTGATCCTGATGGCTGGGTTGTACAGCTGGACCTGGCAGACAGCAAGCATATGGATGACAAAATACTCTTCAGAAAAAGTGTACTATCAACTATATTAAGGTTTCATCTACACAAGCCAACCAAGAAACAAAAGCACTCGGGGATTCATTTCAAGGGACCTCATTATTTACACTGCAAATGAAGCCTGTAGAGGAAGAAGTAGGACAGTGAATGCAATGAGCAGAGGGTGTTGGCTCCACATTTGTTTCTCATTAAAAAATTATCTGGCTTCCCAGAGATCTTAGTTTTTTTTTTTTTTACCTGTGATGTATCCCCAGGGTTTTACATAGGAATGTGCAAAAAGTGCCCAATTGTACTTTATTGGAAATCAAGCTAGTTAGCTCATTTACTCAGGAAAATAAGTGATAATGGACCTCTTCACCGACAAAATCACTAGTTAAATGAATGTATGTTTCTTCTCCAAACATAAAGCACTGAATTTTTTTATATAAAACAAAGACACTGAAGCTGTATTTCAAGCAGAAAAAAAAATGAAAAACTGAAAGAAAGATTTGAGGTTACCTCCTTCACACAGCACATATGCTCTTATTCTAGTTTTTCTCAGAACTTGATACTGGAGACAAAGGTTCTTCTTTCTTCCCACTCCTAAGCAGAAATGGATAGACTACTACCACACTGACATGGCCCACCTTCCAAGTACTTAATTACCCCATGCCTCAGCAGCAGCACATGTAGCAGAAGTTGTCCAACATGTGCACAAAGGAGAAAGAGCAGCAGCTCAGAAGGGACACCAATGCTCCTTCTGAGCTCAGGCTCTGCATCCTCACCACAGCTTTAAGAATACAGCTTTCCTTCTGGGTATATGGTGACAGTCCTGAAGTTCAATTCAGTATACAGTATAAAAAGCTTAGAGCTCCAAATTCTACTGGATGCTATTCTATTCGAGGGACAAAGAGATGGAGGAAGAAAGTAAGGAAGGAAGCAAAGGAGAAAGGAGAGGAGGGAAAGAGGAAGGGAGGGAGGGAGGGGCCTGCTATTTAGGTTACAAAAGCTAGTGCTGGAAGAGGAAATGATTTAATTGCTTATGCCGCTGTAATTCTTTCCCTTCAGTGCATGCATAGGGCAGTGTTGACGTTAATGTCAGAACCATAACTACATTAAGTAGCTCCCATGCTCACTGACAGAGCAGTGGACAATAATGGATGGAAAACAGAACAAGACTGAGACGGCACAGATCTATTATTTCCTAGCCTTGACATGCTGGAATTTGCAATCCAAATATTGTTATTTTTAAAAAAGCTTGGTTTTTACTGAGTCAGGGCAAGTTATCCAACTGTTAGGATCAGAAAAAGACAGAAGCCTCTGAGGAGCC